CATGTATATTAAATACACAGCCCCTCTCCTGCTTACCTTGTTGCAGGGGGGAGGCTATGAGCCACGATTATCGATCCCTGGTGATCTAGTGGCGATTAGTCTGCTGCAGACTTTACTAATCAATCCTTTCATCCAGCGTTTAGCGAAGACGCCGGCCGAAAGGATCCGAGGGCCGGCACAGAAGCAGCTATGCGGTCTGCATCTGACAGAGATGCAGACCGCGTGGCTGCTCCCACATGTGTGGTGTGACAGCGTACCAGACTTGTGAGCTGGCTGCGGGCCACATAGCATCAGCTCGCCGCTGGTTTAGACGTTTTTCTTTTCTTGTACCACCTGTGGACAGTTTGAGAGATTTCTCTTCACTTCCTGCCCTGTAGACACAACAGGAGAGTTGGAGGAAATCTCTTCAAAGTGAGGAAAATCCCATTTTAGCAAGTTGTCACCAGACTGCAAGATTTCCTCTTTATTTCTGTTCCAGTGACATTGGTCACCAGGACAAATAGATGGATCCATCTCCTAAGCAGAAGCACTGATTTAAACATCTACAAGGGGGCCATGGTGCAATAGCTGGTGTGTCTGATAGTCTGCCCCCTCCATTACTATTTACCTCCCCTGTGTTTTGCCCCTGCCTTATTTGTTAGCATTTTTTTTCCGGGCTACCATGGCAGGGGTCCACCTGGACAGAGTGGCGATTCTGTCTGGACCGCGATTGTCTGGGTTGTCTTGCACTGGGCTATGGCTGGCTGGCAGTGGATACACCGGCCTGTGCATCCACTGCCAGCCATAAGCCAGTGCAGGCCCCCCCTTCCTTCAGTCATTGGATGCTAGGACCGTTGGCGTCCTAACAACCAGTGATGTCAGGCAGGGCCAGCTTGTCGGCACGTGATCTGGATAGCTGAACAGCCCCCTCCCAGATCACTTGTACTAGCCAGCAATGGATCAAGCAGAGTTCTGTGCTCGATTGTCTGTATTGGAGGGTAGGGGAGACATCAGGAGTCCAATAGAGCACTGATATCTCCATAAAGAAAACCTGTCACCTCCAAATGCTGTCACATAGGGGCTTGTTAGCTGCTTTGTGATAGCAGAAGTTGAGTGAAGAAAAAAAAACTTATAGATGATAAAGTAAAAAAACAAAAGATTAAAGATGATATAAAAGTAACAATAAAATAAAACCAACCCTGCCGCCCCCACTATCAACCCGATTGAACACTGGTATGTAAATGGGGAAGTTCTAACAAGAAATGCACAAATAGTGCAATGTGCTGGGTTTGGCGCACCAGCACTGTGCCTGGGAACACTCCCCAGCAGCTGTGCGTTGTAGGCATCTGCTGGTGTGAATGCAGCCTAAATGGCGGAGGGCCGCCCCCCCCTTCTCTTCCCTGTCTGCTGTGTTCAAACCGCTGTATAAAGTTTTAGTCAAAGAGAAAGTCTGAAAGTAAACAGCTTCTCATGTGCTGTCTCTTTAGCAAAACCTCCTGATGTGTCGTAAATCCTGTTTCCTGGACGCATAAAGATTTTATATAATTAGCATCAACATATTAAACTGTTTATAATCTTTAAAAAAATTTACTCCAAATTATTACAGTTTCCATTTTAACCTTGAAGCTTAAAGGAGAACTATGAGGTGAGTGCTTTCCACTCACCTCATAGTTCTAGCCCACCTGTCACAATGAGACTGTCACAGGTCGGCTCAGTAGATCGGGAGGTGAGCGAACACATACCGGCGTTCGCTCACCTCTCGATCCTGTCACGGCTCTCTGCCGTGACAGGTGAAGGGCTGGATTCCCCCCTCCCCGCTCCGATCCTCCAGCGCTGACTGGCGTAACGGACGGGGGAGGAGGCGGGTACAGCTGGCTCTGCCTCTAGATAGGCAGAGCCAGCTGTCAGTCACGCAGCTGGGCGGATCACGGCACAATTGTCGGGATCCGCTTCAGCTGCGGTGTCTCAGTATACCGCGAGCTACTGCTCACGGTATACTGAGCCTAGGGTGACGGGAGTACGCTAGTTTGTGTCCTCTCGTTACCCTAAGGAGAACTATGGGGAAAAGCCTTAACCCCATAGTTCTCCTTTAACTCCTGACAAACCACCCAAAACACAGTTGGAATACATATATTGGTGTTGTTTTACTTGCCCTGGTATTTGTAATGTTATGCAGCCAGTCCTGAGAGCTGTACAGCTGTGCCACAGAGTACAGCCAGCTTGGCGACCTGACCATTTCCTGCTGCATTTAAGTCCTACAGTTTGGTCACCTCCCCTCCCCGGCCTGTGATTGGATAGTGAAGAAACAGCAACAGATTAATAAGATCATCTCCTATTATTCTGCCAGCATGTTCCCTGTCATCCTGATTGCTTTGGTGCTTCTCCTCCCTCTTTTTCTTGTCTAAGTGTTTTTGTACAGGGATTGCAGGAGGCTGATATGAAGACAGTTTCAGGGACTCACATTGGTTGATATATTAAATATTCTGTTAAATAATAAACAACTGCATTAAATGTTGTGTTTTTCTTGGAAGGCCCACCCCTGAACATTTTATACTTCTCCAGGCCACCCCCCAGCTAAATTTCTTCTTGGCCACCACTGCAAAATACCCGGTGCCTCTGGGTACGAGGGAGCATATGGCCTCCTATGATGCAGCTTTTGAGCCTAGTGTTACATGGCTGCTCCCTCGTTGCTCCTACACTGGATTTTCTTGGTTGCAGCTTTGAGGAAGGAACCCAGGGGGAGTGCTGGAGAGGCGAGTTCAAAGTGTGGCCACTGTCACCCCAAAAGTCTCTAACTGGACTGTTTCCTATTTTCTCATTTGCCCACCATGGTTTGTTTTTTTTTCGCCCCCTTCAGCGACTTGTTCGGCCTCAGGAAAAAGCAAGCTCTTCGCTAAGTAAAAGCGGTTCTCAGATTTTACCAAAAAGTCAGCCCGATACTGGAACTCCATCCTCCACAACACTAAACAACAGCAGCATGGTGAAAATGTGCTCTATGGGGCAGAGGACTTTCTCTCCCGGTCAGATGGAGTTAATGACTCGCTTTGGAATGCCGCCCGCTCAAGAGCATACCCAAATGCTACAACACCACCAACAGCAGCAGCAAAAAAATATCAACACTGCCCGAAAAACTACCTCAGACATTCAGACGCTCCAGAATTTTTTGAGTGAAATGAGCGAAAACCGTAAAGTCGAAGAAATACCTCATACCGAGCTCGACACGATGCTCTCAAAATTTCTTCTAGTCGTGAAAAGGAAGGACGGCAACGAGTACGAGCCACACACCCTCCGCTGCATGGTGGGAAGCATTGATCGGTACCTGAAAGAACACAATTATATGCATACAATCGTATACGGGAACAGCAAGGACTTCCCATTGACCAAGCAGTCGCTCAATGCCAAAATCAAATTTTTGAAAAAGATTGCAGAGAGCAATCCGCCGATCAGGCAGGAGGCTTTGACCGACGACGACATTGAAAACCTCTACAAGAGCGGTACGCTGTCCATGGACAATCCGACGAGCTTGCTCAACTTGGTGTTCTTCAACAACGGGATCCATTTTGCCCTTCGAACGAAAGAGCAGTACAACCTCCAATGGGGCGACATCAAGCTGAAAATCGACCCAAGAGGGAACCAGTATTTGGAGTACACCGATCGCCAGATGGAGATGGTGGAAAATCGCAAAAATGTAAGACATGTAAAGCCAAGGATGTACGGGACACCGCATACCCCAGACAGAGATCCAGTGACGGCGTTCTTAAAGTACAGGAGCTTTAGGCCCGGAGCCATGATGGCGCCAGATGCCCCTTTTTACTTGGCACCTAATGTCAACTACAACCCCGCCTTCTCGGAGTGGTACCGTTCCACCAAAATTGGAATCCAAAAAATTCGAGCCATGATGACGACCATGAAAATCCGGGCATCTCTTCCTGAATCGAAGAAGAAAGTAGGATATATTACAAAAAAGAGATTGGTCGAAAGACTTCCGCAGCATCTCTTGACAGCCCCGTCAATGTCGCAAACCATGCCCAACAATGTACGCCATCCGATTGCCACTGAGGTAATGCAACATAAAATGCCCGCCATTATTAACAACATCCCGACATCTATGGCAAGCCAGTCCCAAGATAAAATGTTGACGCCTGCCAGCAGTTTCCACCCACGACCTTCAACGAGCAGATACGGAGAGCCACCTGTCCATAAAAGAAGCTTCATAGACCCTGACTTAATTCAGCATCACAATGCGGTCCTGCATCGCAATTCAGCACTTTTTCTCAATAGCTACACTCAACTCATGGAGGATGAACCAGCAAAGAAGCGCAAAATGGTCCCTTACGAATGAAGTCGGAGGAGAGTGACGTCACGATGGTGTGCTCCAGCTGCCTTCTAGAGCAACTTTTTGAAAAGTTGCATCCTGGACTTCTGTTGAGTTCTCTATTTTTTAATCATATTCATGATTATGATTTTCTTATCTTTCACCTCAAACTCTATTTATTCAACTTTTTAAGTCATATAGTGTTTTATTTAAATGAAGCTGACTTGTTTCTACAAAAATAACGGCTCTGGTATTCTTTTTTTTTTTTTTTTTTTTTTCTGTACGTTGATAGCCTTTTCACATTTGCAGATGACCTGACCACCCAATGTTCTTTTCTTGAATGGACTTACGCATACACAGACACGTTCACATTGTACTAGCATGCAGGCTAAGAAGCGCACCCACATTCCAGTTTAGGACAGCCTTGTGGAAAAATATAATCACTAGGGGCAGGTACTATAGGGAGCTTGGCAACAAACAGGTTCAATGACAGGACTCTAGATTGGGGTGGAGGACAACGATGGAATGGGAATGAAGGAAGATTTTCAAAAAGCTATCGGAATTGAATTAATCAATTAATTTACAGTGACCTCAAGCACAGTAGTGTTGGTTGGTGGTACACAGGATAATAGCTGAATATACCTAAGGATGCACCGATACCGGTTTTTCGGTATCAAGTACCAATATATTTTTTTTTGGTACGTAATACCGATACCGGAAGGCCCATTAGGGAGCCGGGCGGCGTGTAATGACTCGCTGCCTGGCTTCCTGATTAGCCAGGAAGCCATCTCCATGCTCTCCCGTTACTAGGTGACGAAGAAGCATGGAGCTGGCTTTCTGGCCAATCAGGTGCCGGGGGTGGGTAATGATTCACCGTCTGGCTTCCTGATTGGCCAGCTTCCTGAGTGCTCGGCTTTCTGATTGTCACGGAAACTAGCTCCATGCTCCCTCGCCACCAGGCGAAGAGGGAGCATGGAGCCAGCTTTCTGGCCAATCAGGGGGGCAGGTAAAGACTCGCCTTCTGGCTTCCTGATACCGGAAGTTCCTGTATCAGGATAGGTATTGGGAGCATTTGGGCGAGTACGAGTACTCGCCCTAATACTCGGTATCAGCACCGATACTAGTATCGGTGCATCCCTAAATATACTGATGCAGTGGGCCATCTTACTCCCTGCACTGCATGTGTTAAATGCTGTTTTGCCTAGGGGCATTAAAAAGTAGTACAAATTACCTTATGCCTCCCCCTCCCCAAGCAGCCCATGTTCTTTTTCGCCCCTTGTCGCTCCCGGAACGGGAGCAGGCACTTGCCTCCCTCCCGTATAATGTATGTGATGATGTCCAAGAGTGTGACCATTCGAGCAGCAAGGAAAAGCAGCTTTGGGGGAATAAGGTGGGTATTTCACCTTATTTATCAATCCCCCTAGACTAAACAAGCGGTGCCACTGCATAGATACATTTTACAGCAGCCTGCAAAGTAGCTTAAAAGGGCGAGTCTCCTTTAGAAGTGAGTTCTAGTGGACTGAGTCAGCCCCTTATGTCTTAGGTGATCCAAAGGTGAGATCTGCCTGCTATAATTTCCAAATCTGTTCTTGTCCACCAAGGAGTTTTAAGTGTTCCAGGCCCTCCGATTTGGAATTTTGTTTATGGTATATCATCGGGTTTCACACCTTATGCCTATCCTTAGATGGAAGCCATACGATATGGTCTATTTTTAAAGTGTCAACTTCTATTGTTTCTATATCTTGCCTACCCAAACAGGTAGTTCAGATATTACACGATATTTGGTAGGCTGGCTAATCTGAGCCACCAGATAACCTTTAGACAAGCGGGGTACCCCCAGACCACTATAAAGTTTATGTTGAAGCATTGTACGCATTGGGAGTCTGAGCATGTGATTGTCCCAGGAGAATTATTTGACTTGGGTCTGCAGGATTCCAAGCACATACAATTGGAAGTCCTGAGTGATGCAGAGAGTGGTGATGACATCAACACCACCTTGTGCATCACTACACTGTGAGTGCAGGCCACGGTGATGCACGGGGCAGATCTGTTATGACTTCTGGGTTAAATTACACTGTCCATTATTCAACTCGGAAGCCTGAGGAAGAGATCATATTCTGCACAACTATCACTTGCAAGATCTCAAGTCTTAAAGAATCAGAGGGTTTATATGAACATGTACAAGCCTGGGGACTAGATCTGCTAGGACAGGATTGGAAATCCACTGTACTCCAGGAAGGGGTTAAACTTTGCCTAACTGATTGTTGCCCCTTGTGACCCCCACATACAACTGTAATAAGAATTGGAAGCAGAATAGAGAACTGAACAAAACAAAGTTTGCACGTGGCTGAGCTTTTGGCAAAAAAATACATTTGGGTCAATGGGGAAAGTAAAATTCTTGACCCATTTTATGCCATAAGACCCTCATTATATACTGTAGTAAGGAACAGAGATGGATCTTGCATACACTGTAAAGTATTTCCACCACAAGTACTGCAAAGCTGAAGGAACAGATTTGGCGTGCATCGAAACACCCAAAAAGTGAACCAAAAAGTGCACAGAAGGTATGCAATCTAAAGGGTCCGTCTCCCGAAGAGACAGGGTCCATCCCTGACCCCTCGTAGTGCATTGCTCCTGAAGGGAAGGACACTGGTGTCCACCTGGCAAAAGTTCGTCAAAATTTTGCTTCCGTTCGCGCACTCCACATCGGGTTACGAACACGACCGCGGCCATTTTCCCCGCCTGACGCGTTGTCGTGGCTTCCTCTAGTCCTCATCGCGGTCACAGACAGACCTGTGCACACTTGCTGTGAAGCTTTTTTTGTGCGCTTATTAGCACATACAGTACTGTACAGTATTATTCAAGCCAGCATGGCTCCAAAGAAAGTGCAGAGCAAGCATGGTGGTAAAAAGAAAGTGGGGGTAATGAAGGGGACAAGAATGCGCAGAGCGGTAATGAAGGCGACAAGAGGAAACCCCTGAAGGTTATTTCCCCGATGTCCTTATGGAGGGAGACTCTCCCTCCAAACAATAACCTCCTCCCCACCCACCTTCCTGTCCTCCTCTCCAGCAGTCGCCTCAAGAAAAGTGTTCACTCTCTTCATATTGTACTGTACTTTGTTTCATATTTTTGTGGTAAATTTTTTTTTTACATATGGTTTAGAACGGATTAACCTCATTTACATTACGGGGAAATTTGATTCGGTTCGTGACCAGAATCGTGGAACGAATTAAGTCCGTGAACCAAGGTACCACTGTATAAGTGAAAGAGAGGGTAATGGCCACCACAGTTGAGTGTTAATGCAGATTTTATGATAGCAATAGTGGATGGTCTGTAGCATGGATTGGTGCATGGCATTAGCAGTTGAAGGTGTTTCTACAGGTGTGAGTGTGAAGCATGACATGCTATGTGCCCCACCACCCATATAGGTACAATGGGTTTTCGTGTAAGTCCAGGGTTTCAATTTTAAGGGAGGGGTATGTTTGAATGTTGCCGTTCAATAACCAGAAAGGACCTTATATTCTGCAAACCTATAACTTCCCTTCTGTTGGTTACTATGTGCTAGGAAACCAATCTGAAGTAACTATAGTGTTCACTGGAAGTGCTGTAGTAGGAGCTTTCTTCAAAGATCCCCTTGCTTCGAAGTTGCCAACTGTAACAGGATCACTAGAGTGGTATGGCTAAATCACACCGGATTAACCACGTCTATAAAGCCACGGTGCCCTTTAGGCTCTGCTACCCCTCCCCTATTTGGGTCTCTGTGTGCCAGAAGGTGGCAACCCCAGTGTAGATGTACAGTGTGGCATGTGACCTACACCGGGATCAAATCCTAGGGGGACAATTCTGCAACTGCACAGAAACACACTCATTGAGCATCGTCCCCCCAGAAATGGAAATATGCATAGGAATAGCAATTCCCTCAACACCTCAAATCTTCCCGAAAAATAACAAACTAATGCATAAAGAGTTTCCGTTTGTTTTGTTGGTTTTTCTGAGGGGACACACACGCCTTTCTTTTAGCAATATTGACTTGCAACATTTCATTTATTTTCTATTCAATCTAAAGACAAATAGATGTAACAAAAGGAAAACCAAATGTTCTTTATATTTTCTATATTTTTCCTTCTTCTGCTCTCCTTTCATCTCCTTTCTACTCTCTCTCTTGTTCTCTCTCGCTCTCTTTCTTCTTCCTCTCTTCTCCTCTTCTCTCTCTCTTCTCTTTCACATTTTCTTATTTCTCTCGTCTACCTCTTCTTATTCTCCTCTCTTTTTTTCCCCCACTTCCACTCCGGTCCTTTCTACACCTCTTCTTATTCTCATTTTTCCTATCCTCCTATTAATTTCTTCTTGCTCTCCTCCTCTTCTTTTTATCATCCTCTCTTCTTCCTCTCTTTTCCTTCTCCTCTTCATTGCCTTTCTTATTCATATTCCTCTCCTTTCCCATCACATTCCTATCTTCTTTCTAGCCTTTCATTTAATTCTCTCTCCTTCCCGTCCTCTCTTCTCTTTTCCCATTTTTCTCCTCTGCTCTTCTTTTCCACACCGATGTTTTTCCTCTTCTTCTTTTCTTTTCTCTTCTATTTTCTCCTTTTTCTCTCTTTTTTCTTTTTTTTTAATCCCCTTTCCTTTACTCTTTCTTGTTTTTCTTCTCCTCTTTCCTCTTTCTTGCTTTCTTCTCCCATTTCTTGCTTTCTTTTCTTTCTTGCTTTCTTCTCCTATCTTGTTTTCCCCTCCTCCTATCTTGTTTTCCTCTCCTTTTTTCCTTTTTCTTGTTTTCCTCCCCTTTTTCTTTTTCTTCTTGTTTTCCTTTCCTCCTCTTTTTTTTTTTCCATCTATCTCCCCCTTTCCTCTTTTCTCTTCTGGTCTCTACACACTTTTCTTAGCCCTACCACACTCTTCCTGACATCTCTCCCACCATTAGCCTGTCCCCTCCACTGTAAGGAAGCCAAGTTATACTTTCTGCACCTGGCAGACACAACACCCCAGTACCATCATCTCATTAGTCAGTGCCCCAGCCCTGGCTGTTATCTTGAAGGAAGTAGATAGAGTACGTTTTCCAAGCCATTACAGTACAAATATACTTCCTGGAAACTTTAGTCAACAAATGTTGCCTGGACTTGCCCATTACAGCCTTACAGGAAAATAAAGCAAGTTCGAGTCTACTATAGGAGGTGTTAATGTAGGCGGGTTATGGTA